GCCTGGGTTTGATACCGACCTCTGGTTCCCAACCCCACCGCTGACACAGGCCTCAGGAGGCAGTGTTGAGTGCCTCAAGCAATTATGTTCATGCCACCTGCATGGGAGGCCTGGACTGAGGTCCTAACAGTGGCTCAGCTCAGCCCTGGCCATAGCAGGTATTTAGGAAGTGAGCCAGAGGACAGGAAATATCAGAGTTAATATGAAGTATCTAATGACAAATTTTATATTATCTCCTGAATTAAGAAAAAACATCTTGAAAGTGATGCTTGCCTTTTTTACTTTCTTAAAGATATCATTTGAAAGCCAGTTATTGATTTTGGTCAGAGTAAATTTCCCATTGTGTAGCTAGTGCTGTTTGTGTGCTAAGAAATCTTTATCTGCCCCCAGTCTTGAAACCATTCTGGTTGCTGTGCTCTGTTCAGGTGATCTGTGTCTTTCTCTCATCCAGTACCGAGCTGTGTTGTCTGAGTAGCTGGTATAATGGGGGCCTTAATACCAAGTACATGATTACTACAGCTCTTCCGAAGCCTGAACTGTTTGATTAAACTTTAGAATAAGTTTATTGTTGTCTCAAAAAAAAAAAAAAAAAAACTTGAGATTTTTTTGATAAGAACTGCATTTAACCTATGCATCAGTTTGTAGAGAATTAGCTACACTCTACTGAGTTTCCTAATACATGAGTACACTACTCATTTAATTTAAACCTTTTATTTCTTTCATCAACATCTTATTTTCTGCATAGGCCTTTGTTTTGTTAAGTTTATATCCAAGTATTTAACTTTTTAAAAAAAGTGTTTGTTTATTTTCATCTACTCGAAAGGTAGAGCAAGAGAGAGTGAGCTGGGCACCCACTGGTTCATTCCTCAGAGGCCTGCACAGCCAGGGCTGGCCCAGGCCACAGGTAGGAGCCCTCCATCAGGGTCTCCTGACCGGGTGGCAGGGCCCACGCGCCTGAGCCGTCCTCCGCTGCCTCCCAGGTGCATCAGCAGGGCCTGGCTGGGAAGCAGAGGAGCTTGTGGTGGTGGTGGTTGGTAATTCCATGTTCTGTGTGTTCGTTGTTAGCGTTTGGAAATGAGACTTGTGTATGCTGGTCTCACATGCTGCAGGACGCCTGAACTTGCCTCCTCGCCCTGGGAGCTTCCGTGTGGATTCCTGGGATGGTCTGTGTGGCAGTAGGCCACACCATCTTGCAAAGCAGTTTTATTTCTTCCCTTCCGATCTGTGCACCTCTTATTTCAATTTTTCTTGTTTTATTGCAGTGATTAGAACTTCCCGTACTGTGTTGACTAAGTTGTGAGACTGGACTCCTTGTCTTGTTCCCCTTCTACAGAGAAAACATTCTGCCTTTCCCAGTCAAGTACGATGGTAGCAGAGGTTTCTGGCACGTTCTCTTCATCTGCTTGAGAAAGAGCTCCTCTACTTGTAGCTTGTCGAGAATTTTTACAATGAATGAAAGTTGTGTTTTGTAAAATGCTTTCTGTGAGTCCATTGAGATGAGCATATGGTGCGTGCTGGTGATTATCAACCTTACACACCTGGAATAACTCCAGTGTAGTCACATGCAAGATTCCTTTTATGTACTTCTTTTATTTTTTTTTTAAAGATTTATTTTATTTAATTGAAAGACAGAGCACAGAGAGAGAGGCAGAGAGAGAGAGAGAGAGGTCTTCCATCCGTTGGTTCACTCCCCCAGATGGCCACAATGGCCGGACCTGCACCGGTTCAAAGCCAGGAGCCAGGAGCTTCTTCCAGGTCTCCCATGCGGGTGCAGAGGCCCAAGGACTTGGGCCATCCTCCACTGCTTTCCCAGGCCATAGCAGAGAGCTGGATCGGAAGAGCAGCAGCGGGACTAGAACTGGCGCCCATATTGGATGCCAAGCACTTCAGGCCAGGGCTTTAACCCACTGCGCCACAGCACCGGCCCCTACACTTCTGTATTTAATTTGATAATACTTTGATGAGGAATCATGAGAGATGTTGGTCTGTAGTTTTTATTTTAAATCGTCTTTGTCTAGTTCTGGGTTAAGCATAATTATGGCCTAATAAAATAAGTTGAGAATTATTTCTCTTCTACTTTTCTGAAGGAGAGTGTACAAGTTCTCTTTTTATTCTTTTTTAAGTGTTTGTTAAAATTCCCCAGTAAAATCATCTGGGCCTGGAGATTTCTTTCTTTGGTTACAAATTCCATTTCTTTAGTAGGAAACTGGACTATTTGGGTTATGTTTTTCATCACAGTTCAGTTTTGGCGTTTAGTGGTTTTCAAGGAATGGATCTATTCTAAATAAACAAATGCATGCATGTGGCTTTGTCCACAGCGCTCCTCATTCTCTCTAAGGCTGCAGGGTGTGTTCTGATGTCACCTGTTCCACTTTTTTTTTTTTTTTTGGACAGGCAGAGTTAGACAGTGAGAGAGAAAGACTGAGAGAAAGGTCTTCCTTCCGTTGGTTCACCCCCCAAATGGCCGCTATGGTAGGCGCACTGCGCCAATCCGAAGCCAGGAGCCAGGTGCTTCCTCCTGGTCTCCCATGTGGGTGCAGGGCCCAAGCACTTGGGCCATCCACAGCAGAGAGCTGGACTGGAAGAGGAGCAACCGGGACAGAATCTGGCACCCCAACTGGGACTAGAAGCCGAGGTGCCGGCGCCGCAGGCAGAGGATTAGCCAAGTGAGCCGTGGCGCCGGCTACCTGTTCCACTTCTAAGGCTGTGCCTTCTGTCCTTTTATCTTCTTCACCTTGCTAAATATCTATCAGTTTCATTGACCTTAGTCCCGGTGATGTTTTCTCTTTAAGTATTTCTGCCCTTCTGCTTGCTTTGGATTTATACTTGCCTTTTTTTTAGGTCCTTGAATTAGAAGTTTAGATTATTTTTTAAGATTTTTTTGGGATCTGCACTGTGGCATAGTGGGTAACCATCATCCCACAGGGGTGCCAGTTCGAATCCCGACTGCTCCACTTTCCATCCAACTGCCTGCTAATGCACCTGAGAAAGCAGTGGAAGATGGCTCAAGTGCTGGGGCCCCTGTACCCACATAGGAGACCTGGAAGAAGCTCCTGGCTTTGGCCATTGTGGTAATTTGGGAACTGAACCATCAGATGGAAGATGGAAGGCAGTTACAGAGAGAGAGGGAGGGAGAAAGAGATCTCCCATCTGCTGGTTCACTCCCCATATGGGCAGGCCAGGCTGAAGCCAGCAGCCTGCAACTCCATCTGGGTCTCCCACATGGGCAACAGGTGCTCAAGTTCTTGAGCCGTCTTCTGCTGCTTTCCCAGGCACATTAGTAGGGCATTGGGCTGGAAGTGGAGCAGCTGGGACACACACTGGTGCTCACATGGGACGCTGGCCTTGCAGGCGGTGTCTTAACCCACTGCGCCACAACACAGACACAGAGGCTTAGATTATTAATTTGAAACCTTTCTTTTCTGGATGTAGGCATTTAGTGCTATAAATTTCTCTCAACACTATTAAAGCTGTGTCCCAAAATATTTAAAAATGTGTTATTGATTTGAAAGAAAGAGCTCCTGCTGACTGATTCACTCCCCAAATGCTGTAGCAGCCCCCAGCAGGAACCAAATCCGGGAGCAGGGAACTCGACCCAAGTCCCCTGTCGATGACAGGAGCGCAGCCACACCAGCACTCGAGTGTGGGCACCGGTGCCTTCACCACGGGGCCAATGCCTCGCCCACAACTGACGCTCTGGGAGGAGAGAGAACCCTGGAGGTTACTACTTGTGCTGTCGTCTTCCTTCATGGATGTTTTTAGAATTTAGGACCTCGTCTTTGACCCACGGCACTGCGGTCCTTTGATCCCGGGGTCAGGAAAGGTCATTCCACGTGTCTGGAGACTTTCCTGTTCTCTTCTAGTTTGTTTCCATTACGATCAGGAAACATACTCAGTGGCGTCTATTTGCTTTAGACTAACTGCTCTTCATTCTCTAATTTTCTAGTGGATGTTTGGGCTGTTGATCTACAACCTCATTTTTAACACGTGTCCGCGTAGACAGTAACTTCGCCTTCAGACTGGTTTTGCCGTGCTCAGCCCAGATCCTCGGTTCATGTGTTGCTCAGCTCTGGAGCTCGGCTGAGGTTTCTGCCCCAGCTCAGGCAGTGGCCGGGAGTCGCGTGTTGAGTGTTCCCCGTTCTGATTGTGGATGTATCTATTTTTCCTTTCAGCTCTATTTTTAACAGCTTAATTCATGCAGTTTACTCTTTAAATTGTACAGTTGGCTTTTAGTGTACCCACAGACATGTGCAAACATAACACAGTCGATGTTAGAATATTTTCTTACCCCTAAAAGAAATTCTGACCTTAACTGTTACTCCTCCATCCTCCCCCACGCAGTGCCAGGCAGCTGCTTGTCTACTTCCCACCTCTACAGATCTCCCTGCCCCGGTCCTGGGGTTGCAGTGCTGAGTCCAGTAAGCAGGGCACGCGTGGAATGCTTCTTCGTCCTTCACTGCTAACCTGGGGGTCGTGTTTCCTCTCACCGCCTGCTGCCTCACCTGATGCCAGTGCCCAGTGTTGTTTTGTTTTTAAGATTTATGTATTTATTTGAAAGTCAGAGTTACACACAGAGAGAAGGAGAGGCAGAGAGAGGGGGGGGGGGGTCTTCCATCCGATGATTCGCTCCCCAGATGACCACAGTGAGCACTGTGCCAATCTGAAGCCAGGAGCCAGGAGCTTCTTCTGGGTCTCCCAAGGACTTGGGCCATCTTCTACTGCTTTCCCAGGCCATAGCAGAGAGCTGGATCGCAAGTGGAGCAGATGGGACTAGAACTGGCACCCCTATGGGATACTGGCACTGCAGGAGGCGGCTCTACCCACTACACCAGCCCCAGTGCCCAGTTTAAAAGGAAATCTACATTTTAGTAATGCGGTGCAGTATGTTTATTATGCTAATCCCTTGTTTTAACAGAGAAAAAAACATGATTTCTGGGGGGGAAGGGTCCAGAAACTTGCGTCTGGAACTCACCATGTCCTCTGTCCTTTTCCTCTTCCAGGAGGACAGCCGTGAGCTTCGTGGCATACTGCTGCTCCACTCAGTGTCTTCAGAGTTTTGACCTGCTGAGCTGATCCGACGGCCCCGCCAGCTCCACACTGCGGCCACCTGGGGCTCACACGCCACTGCAGCAGGGGCAGGAGAGTCCAGCCAGGCCGGACCAGGCCCTTCCAGCCTGCTCTGTCCAGCATGGGTGCTGCAGAACTCTGGAATTGTGATTGAGCTAAAATGCCTTCACCCTTCTCCGAGTCGGAATATATCCTCCCTCAAACGAAGGATCCCCGGTCTTGTGTGGTTTTTTCTGCTCATCCACACGCTGGTTACTTTGATGAGCCAGCCCAAATCTAATTTGGAACAAATCTCGCTCAGTTCCCTACAGAGCAATCATTTGCCAGTGTAGCCAGATTGACTTTGGAACACACACCTCCTGCAGACCTGCGCTCTCCGTCTTTCCCCAGAGGGCTCTTTCCCTAGAGGTCTCCCCGGGCTTTCTCCTGCGAGAGCTCGCAGAATGTCAGCCTTCGAGCAAAGCCCGGGGCCTGGGCTCCACAGTCTGCAGAGGCGGGGCGGCTGCGGGGTCGGTGGCAGGGTGGGAGCGTGGGGGGCTCCCCGAGGACCCTCGGCACACCCCCTCCGCAGAGTCAAGGTCTCTGACTGTGAGGGGTTTCACAACAGAATGTGATGGTTGGCCGGCGCCGTGGCTCACTAGGCTAATCCTCCGCCTAGCGGCGCCGGCACACCGGGTTCTAGTCCCGGTCGGGGCGCCGGATTCTGTCCCAGTTGCCCCTCTTCCAGGCCAGCCCTCTGCTGTGGCCAGGGAGTGCAGTGGAGGATGGCCCAGGTGCTTGGGCCCTGCACCCCATGGGAGACCAGGAAAAGCACCTGGCTCCTGGCTCCTGCCATCGGATCAGCGCGGTGCGCCGGCCGCAGCGCGCCGGCCGCGGCGGCCATTGGAGGGTGAACCAACGGCAAAGGAAGACCTTTCTCTCTGTCTCTCCCTCTCACTGTCCACTCTGCCTGTCAAAAAAAAAAAAAAAAAAATAAAAACAGAATGTGATGGTAATGAAATACACTCTTCTCAAAGACGACAGAAACAGCGTCTGGGGATTTTCTTATTTCTTCTCAGGATCTTTGGTGTGTGAGAGAGAAGCTGGAGGAACACTTGGAGCTTTACAAGGTTGATCCTTTTCTCTCTAGATCTAATCCCCTTCCAGGTAATGCAGGGTGGGAACCTTTCTCCTGCCAGGGCCATTGGGTGTTTATAACATCGTTGCAGGCCCCAGAAATGATCCGCTTAGAGACGAGCCTGCGTGCAGCTGCCACGACAGAGCCAGAGCCGATGGTCCTGCAGGCCTTCGACAGACCGCGGGCCAGCCGTGCAGACCCCTGCGTGAGAAACGCGGAGAGCACAGCCGTCAGATTCAGCTCGTCCATGTCTTGTGCGATGGATCTGCGATGGAGCGTATGCGAAAATACTCCCGTTGCATGATAAGCAGGCTTCAGACACTTGTGTGCCAGAGTTTGGCAGGGGGTCTGCGTGCAGCCTGCACACATTTACATACTTAGCAGTGCCCGAGATTGTCTGCTTTGGGAGCCTGGCCTCCTTACTTGGCACACTGTCGTCCAGCCACCCCTGAGGAAACACAGGGCCAGCAGGTCCACAGTCAGCCTTGGAGTCCTGCAGAGAATCTGAACCGAGAGCCTGTGGCCTGCGTGCTGCCAGGAAGCGGTGCCCGGGCCGAGGAGTCACACCCTGGCTCTTCCTTCCACAGGACGGTGTTGCGACGGAATGACTTTTTTAAAACATTTTTATTACTTTAATTCAGAGTTCTGTGAGGCACGACGGAAGGGAGACCCCAGGTTTGCTCCGTGGAAGAATTCTTTTCAAAGAATTTCAGACTCCAGAAGTTTGGTTTGCGGTGTTTTACTCTCTGCCCTAACTCTGTAAGGCTGGACTCCCACAGTGCCAGAAATCCTCCGTAGTTAGTGACCAACGTGTGCTCTCTCTACCGTCACAGCCCCTGCTGCCCAGAAGGACCGTCCAGGCGCAGCGGCGAAGGCAGGAAGTCACCACGTGCCCAGCTGCGTGTGCACCGCTCTCTGTCGCCCCGTCCCGTTCACACTCGGTGTGTTCGGCCTTGACGTTGCAGAGGAACCGAAGGTCTGCCTCCAGACGTACCGCTTCTGTCGTCCTGTGGCATAGTGAAAGTGGTGGCGTCCCCTCTGTGTGCGTGTAAGTTAGGGGAGAGGGATGTGGCATGAACCTGCACAGACCAGCTGCAGACAGTGGCCGCCACCGAGCACCTAAGTGACAGGACAACACCGCTGCACCGCCCCCGTCCCCACGACAGTCGTACGTCCGGAGCTGAGCGACGTGCTGAGCCGACATTCCCACTGCAGGATGTCCTGCGAGCATTTTGCTTTCAGGTTGTTGAAGTTTTACAGAGATGCTTACCGTCCAGGCATCGTCTCTCTGCCTAATATAACCCGGCAGGGCCTGGCCAGGTAACGCCGGGCAGCCTCCACCTTAACGCCCGGCTGTGGCACCTGAGCTTCCCTGGTGAGACTGGAACTTAGAATGCGGCTTCCTGGTGCTGTGCTGGGTGCAGACGTCATCCCTGACCTTCGGCGATGATCAGGCAGTGTTGTCAAGTGGAGAAAGTGCGCCCACATGGCTGTGTATTTGATTGTGTCCAAAGCATTCCAGACAAATGAAACAAAAGTTGTAACGTATCCGTTGCTTTCCTGAGGAACGGTTATGCTGGGTAGAAAAAGCCCTCATGCAGTAATAGGGGTGCGAAGAAGAGGCCCTCGGAAAGTGGACTCTGTCCAGGTCAAACGGCGTCAGTGAGCTCACGCACAGTGAGTGGGAAGTTTTCAGATCAAGACAGCGTCACGAGCGTGGGCCCCTGTGCCCTGGGCCCGTCTCGGTGCTGTCCTGTGCAGGCCGAAGGCTGCACCGTCCGCCAACACGCTTTCTGAGCACCCTCAGAGCGTGGTGAGTGCTCAGCACAGCCCCGGCTGGTGGAGGACTGGGGGGGGGGGCTCCCGTCTGTCCCTGGCCCTCCTCTCCGGGGGAGGGTGTGCGGGAAACACCTGCTGGCCAGCACGCTGCGTGCCGAGACCTTCGCACGGCGGCCCGGCGGGGGGATGCCTGTCTTTATCACGTTTCATGCTGCACGTCACGAATTCCAGTGTGTACGGCCTACGCGGAAGGGCTTCCACTCCGGCTGGCTTTGAGGCTCAGCGTCGTTTTCCCTGGGATGTAAACCTATTTCGTAATCTCTGGGGACCTTCAAAGCCAGTTTTTTTAATTGCTAATAAACCTAGGTTTCTCTTTCCTGACTTGGAGAAGCAGGCATCCCTGCTGAGGTCACAGGGCGCCCAGGGCCCTGCACTGCGTCCGCAGGCGGCAGAACCCTCGCCTGCAGATGGGCTGTGAGCATGGGTTCCTGAGCGGACCGACACCGCCGCGCCGCGGCGTGGCTCCATTCTGAGATGGAGCTCACCTCGTGGACTGTGCACACACACCCTCCGACGTGTCCCCACACAGCCCTGGACGCTTTACCGAGCTTTGGCCTTTGCGATCTTTCATTCCTGCCTGCCCCTAAGAGGGGCTCGCCAACATTTCTCCTGGAACTCAGTGAGTCCCTTGACTCGGGTTCTTTTTTATATAAAGTCTGTACTTTTCAACATAGCTCCATGTCTGTCTGAAAGTCTTGGATGTCTCACTGCCCCCACCCAGGAAGTACCTCCAGGTATCATCGGCTTAGAGAGCGGGCAGTGGTGCAGGTGACCAGCAAAGGGTTGACCCGAGCTCAGTGACAACCCTCAGTCAAGAAAGATTGCTCCCCGGTCTAGGGTGCTCTCTGTGGAGCCGGACTCGGGGGGGACAGAGAGCTCCTAGCAGAGCAGCGTGGGGGCTGGCCGGGAAGTGGGGTGTTCAGAGACCGTTCCCAAGTGTCAGCAAGAGATCTGCGAGGGTTAGCTGATCTTCCCACCTGCCTTACAGTGGCGTGTAGCAGTCCTGTGGCCTGTGCTAAAAATAACAAGCGCTGGGGCCGACTCTGTGGCTCAGCAGGTTAAAGCCCCTGCCTGCAGCACTGGCAACCCATTTGGGTGCCTGTTTGAGTCCCGGCTGCTCCGCTTTGATCCAACTCCCTGCTAATGTGCCTGGGAAAGCAGGGCAAGATAGTGCAGGTGCTTGGGCCCCTACATCCACGTGGGAGACCTGGAAGAAGCTCCTGGCTTTGACTTGGCTCAGTCCTGGCTGTTACACCCATTTGGGGATTGAACCAGCAGATGGAAGATCAATCTCTCTCTCTCTCAGCTTTGCCTTCCAAATAAATTTTCAAAAGTAAAAATACAGGGACCAGCTCTATAACACAACAGGTTAAAGTCCTGTCCTGTAGCACCAGCATCCCATATGGGCACCAGTTTGAGTCCTGGCTGCTCCACTTCGGATCCAGCTCTCTGCTGTGGCCTGGGAAAGCAGTGGAGGATGGCCCAAGTCCTTGGGCACCTGCACCCGCGTGGGAGACCTGGAAGAAGCTCCTGGCTCCTGGCTTCGAATCGGCGCAGCTCCAGCCATTATGGCCATTTGAGGAGTGAACCAGTGGATGGAAGACCTCTCTCTCTCTCCACCTCTCTCTAACTCTGTCTTTCAAATAAGTAAATCTTTAAAAAAAAAAAAATACATATGTACACGTGCACACACATACATACACACATACACACATATAAAATTAATGGGTTTTCTAACACTCCAAGTCTGCCTTCTAGAAATTACAACATTCATTTGGAGTATGAACATTTTCCCTTTATTCCCCTCCCTTTCTTTGAAAGGCGGTGTGACAGAGATCTGTGTGCTGGTTCACTCCCCAAATGTCCTCAACAGCCGTGGATGAGCCGGGCTGAAGCCTGGAGCTGTCACTCCCCGTCTTCGTGGAGGAACGACACAGGACCCTGCGCTGTTCTTTTGTCTGCTCGGCCCTCCCCGGGTTTGCTGCTGGTTCTTCCCGGGTTGGCTACCGTCCCTCCACCTCCGTGGAAGGGCGGTTCCCCCTGCCACATTCCCCACTTCCGCGGGGGAGCGGCACACCGCCGGCCGGCTCTCTCGGGGGCTGCACAGGTGTTCCTTCAGATAGATGTTCCTCTTAGATGTTCCTGGTGCATGTTGTCTCTCTCCTCCTTTATAGTCCTCTTCCACCAATCCCAACTCTGCTGCCCACACGCCGAGTACGCTGCTCTCCTCCAATCAGGAGCAGGTCCTACAGTTTATTGGTTGAACTGGAGGCAGCTGTGTAGAAGCTGTTTCTCCCTTCTCAGTGCCATATTGTGGGAGAGCAGATGCATAGAATAAGTCTTAATTCCAGTAACTTAGTCTACTCCGAGTTGCTCCCCACAAGGAGCAGGAACTCCGTCCAGGTCTCCCACGTGGTGCCAGAGACTGAAGCACGTGAGCCGTCACCCACTGCCTCCCAGGTGCAGTCGAGCAGGGACACAGATCGGAAGTGGAGTAGCTGGGACTTGAACCCGCACTCTGACGAGGGAGTGAACATCCCGGGGGGCAGGTTAACTGCTGTGCCGCCAGGCCCGCTCCTAGAGAAAGGCCGGCTTGCAAAACGTGCCCAGTTTGGTTGCATCGCAGCTCTTGCTATTTATGGGACAATCGAGCTGGAACAGA